ATATTAGCGCCTGCGATCCTTTCTATATTTCTTTCAACGTCCTGACATTGGGTTGTCTGCTCGCACCTTAGATAATTACAGCCTCAAATTTCTTGTGATTTAAGAAAGCTGTAAATTTCACTTTGGAGCATTTGTCCACTGACCTGTTATTTCAGAAGTCTTTTTAATTAATCTTCTAAGATCATAAACCATAAGCAAACTGACTAGGTTTGGTAGTTTGTTTTATACGACAGGTGATTAAATAATTATAAATGATATGACATTGCTAATGGCATGACAGAAAACATTATCTTTTTTTTATCATAAAATCTCTTATGATCAAACCTTTTTGTATATTTATAGTAATTATACTACAACAGATAGTGAAAATGAAAAACTAGTTATAACAACACAAATAATAGTAATGTTCAAAGCTAAGCCCTAGAAGTGCATTATCTCATTTATTCCTTAGAATGACCCAGTGAGGTAAGGATTGTTTTTATCCCTCTATCTACAAATGCCCAAGCCCAAGCTTACGAACAGATGTAACTGTCCAAGAACTTCACTGTAATTGATGAAGCAGGTTTAAACTGTCAGATGAGCTGCCGTCCTCTGTGCTATACATTGATTTTATTTTTATTATTTTTCTATTCAAGGCTTGTGACATTGCTCATTAGTTGATATTTTAATTAAACTTCTTATTTTGAGATAATGGCAGATTCACATATATTTGAGAGAAATGATACACAGATTCATCATAGACTTTACGCAGTTTCTCCTAGTGATACTATCTTACAAACTTTATATATATATATATAAAATATGATAATATTATATATAATTATGTGTGTGTGTATATATATATATATTTATTTATTTATTTATTTATTTTTCTTTTTTGCAGTTTTTGGCCGGGGCTGGGTTTGAACCCACCACCTCCAGTATATGGAGCCATTGCCCTACTCCTTTGAGCCACAGCCACCGTCCCTGTCTTACAGACTTTAATAGTGTATTGTGACCAGTTTCCATCGCCACAAAAATCTCCTTATTGCCTTTTTTTAGTGCCACATCTACCTTGCCACACCCCCATTTCCCTCCTTCTCCCCTGGCAACCACAAATCTGATCTCCATTTCTATAATTTTATCACTTCAAAAGTGGACCATCTAACCCAATAGAATTCTGTAGCATGTAGCCTTTGGGGAAGGATGTTATTTCACTCAGCATAATTCTTTGGAGGTATTGCCGTTGTCATTTTACTACTACTAAATAGTATTCCATAATACGAGTGTACCACAATTTAATATTCACCTGCTTAACGATATCTGAGTTGTTTCTAGCTTTGTGCTTATTACAAATGAAGTGGCTTGATCATTCATGTATAAATTTTATGTGAAGATAAATATTCATTTTTGCTGGATAAATCCCCAAAGTGCATTTGCTATATTGTGTGTTTTATATATGAAATTGCCAAACTGTTTTTCAAAGCAGCCCATGCCTTGAAATACGCTTTTTATGCCTTAATTTATGTGTTTATGTTTACAAAATTTGCATCTGGAATTTCCTCTTGCCACATATAACCCTAAATAATCAATATCAAATGTAATTTGTAGTTTTTTTGAGGCATGGATTTGGAATGCTATTTCTTTCTGGAACCAGTGAGTTAAATGACTGATAAGCCTAGTGGTCTGCTCAGCTTTTATATCATAGTGAGATGTAATTTTTCTCATTAACTCTACTGGGTAAGGTAAAAGAATCTACTCAGTAGGAGTTTTAAATAGTTATTAATAAAATAATGGCTAATTTTATACGTTGAAAGACAAACTTAATTGTGTTCTCAAATAAAATCCTTCAAATGTTCAGTGATTCGACTACTGAGAACATTATAGAGATTCAATAACTAAATTCCTGGGGATATTTTATTGCAATAGCCATTCATACAAGTGCCATTCATTGCTTTGTCGTTGTAGTGTAGAGATTGTCTGTGGATAGTAACTTCACAAGTATCCCTTACAAACCGCTCTTATGATAAAGGAGTCTCAGGGCTCAGTCTCTTCAGCAGAACAGTATCGAGTGTGCTTATCAGTCTCAACCATGCGCATTTTATCCTAACTTCTTGCTGATGGCTGTTGTGTTTTTTCCTATAATATGTTCTTCCCCAGGGCATCTGGCCTTGTTTCTGGATTAGTCCCATGGTGTTTTGCATTTTTGTTTTTTATAATTTTTTTCTTTATACTTGATTTTCCATTTTTATCTTCATGGTTGTATTTGCTTTCACGATCCGTTTGATCACTGTGATTTCTCAGTTTACACATAGTTCAAAAACAAATCTTTTACAGTTGTAAAGTATTCATTTGCAGATGCAGTTAAGAAACAAGTAATATTTTCATGGTCTTTTTGCATCTTAATGTCCAAATAGGTAACAAATGTTTAATGTCACATGGCATAGAAATGTATAAGTTAAATTTTAAAAAAAGATGAGTAGGCTTTCAGACAACTTAGATTATTTATGAACAGCTAGTAGTTCTTTTGACTTAATAACAATTATTAACGACAGACGTGATTTGTAATGTAGTCACCAGATGATGGTTGTCACTTTCTAGGCTGGAATTATCAAATGAAGACTATACCTTGTTAAACTTTAGGAAACCATGTAGATTGATTCTGTCAACCGAATGCAGATCTTATTACTTTGTCAAAAATGAATGTAATGTGCAAAAGAAAAGTTTAATGAGTGTGAAGGTGATTAATTCATGGTATATCATGTATATGAATCAATTTGATAACAATTTCTCACCTTGGGGACTATTAGCATATTGGGTGGCATATACCAGGGGCTCTGCTGTGCTTTTTTAAATGTTTAGCAGCACCCTGATCTCTACCTACGAGATGTCAGAAATCCCCCTTCAGAGGGTTACATTTAAAAACATCTCCACATATTGTCAGCTGGGGGGCAGATCTCCCCTGTGGAGACCATTGAACTTGAATGGAAGCTGTTTGAGAAGAGGATGGCAACTTCTTACACAATGATTGAGGAGTTTATGAACGTTCCAGCACAGGCTGCTGGTACACATCAATAGAATATTAACTTAAATTAGATAAGAAAACACATTTTATTTCCATACTCTACTTTCACACTAGCAGATGTGCTAGATGGTGTATCTCCCTTTGCCCTTGGAGGACAGCATGTTTTTGGAAAGCTCCGCCATAATATTATTCAGGGCAAGAAGACCGCCTTCCCCAGAATTGAGAGTGCGTTGTGAAGCATGAGATCCAGGCACGGTTCTAGTTGCCTTGTCTTGGATCAAATTATGACCTCAAGCTGAGGCCTCTCCAGGAGACAGAAAAGAACATATTCTATTTTTATTCTTATGTCAAATTTAGTCTTTAACTTTCTGTATGGTTACGCTTTGTAAAAATTCCGAGCTCTGGAATAAGGAGGGTATTGTCTCCACTAAACTGGTAAAGTGAGACACTCTTTCTCACCCATCCTGTTTTAGTACATGCTTGATCATTCCTGGTCCTTGCTCCCCTGAATAACTTACGGCTCTGTTGTTCCTTCCTTCACGACCCTTCATGTCTTCTCTGTGTGATTAGCTCATGACTCCTATTACATATTTTGAGCTAAGGAGTTAATAAACAGTAACGGCGTTCTGGGTTACTTTCCCAAATCAGATTTGCGTTGTGGTAGTTCTGAGACTTAAAGGGCTGAGTTAAGTGGAAAATTTATGATTAGGACAGGGCCCCTGACAATGATGTTTTGGTCCAATCAGCTTTTTAGTGCTTGTAGCCCATCCTGGAGTTGTCTTTTGAATCACACAATGAAGATTGGGACTTCAAAAGATTGGATGGTCCCTCATCTGATTAAGATAAAGTTCAGTTCAGCATTTTATCAGTGAAGGAGGGAATGAATGACTGAATGAATAAGAGTTTGTGGGCATTGTAAAGGATGGAGTATGAGCTCGGATAGGCAGACTTTGGTAACTAATCTCAGAGGTCTGAACCGGCCCTTGAGCATTCTTGGCTCTTCCTCACTGGTGTTTAGAAGCGAAAAGACTCCTTGCTATCTGTCTCCATTTCATTCCCCAGATACCACTGGACTAATTGTTTTAAACACAAGTTTTATTAAATCATAAAAATCTCCTGTGTCCCTCCATACCTGGCTTTATCTTTTCTATTCAAATTTGTCTCTGAATCCTACTAAAGGGAACCTGTTTTCCAACATTCCGATTTTTTTCTTTGTGATTCCTAAATATACTAAGCTCATGTACCTGTCCTATGCTTTGCTTGTTTTTACCCTTGTGTGGGATGAAAATACTTCTTCTTGTCCTGATGAGATTCTTACTCATTACCTGAGGCTCACCTGAAGCCCAGCTCCTCCACGGCACTATCCCTAATATATTTACTCCATATGATCCCAACTTACTTTTATTCTTAAAGCACTATATCCAGGCATGACTTTTGGAGCCTTAAGCAATACGTAGTTTTGTTCAAAATAATGACTAACAGTTTTAGGTATACAATTTGTTCTTTGACTAATTAATAAATTCCTGGAAGACAAGTGTTTTGCTTTTTACATTTCATCTAGCATATTATAATATGCAGGACCTGTACTCAGTAGAGACTTACATTAATGGCCAGCTAGGCATTGATTGTATTCTAATTCTGTTTTTACACCCAGACTGACAGGAACTGATAGCAACATGTTGAGTCTCAGATTAAAGTAAAGAAAGACTTTCTGGATTTCAGAGGAAGAAAGTGGATTATCTTAGGTGAAAAGTTAAAAGCAGAGATACCTTAGAAAAGGCACATCAAACGGCAGTCTGTGAAGGAAATCTAATTTAGCTTATTTGTGTTAGATCTGTGAATTTCGGCACTGTTCATGTCATTTTAGATATGAAATATGTACCATTTTGAGCTACTGGTAATGGAAATGAATAAATGTAAAAGTAGTTGACATGTGTTATAAAATGGTTGATTACAGAATTCTAACTGATCTTGATTTCCTTCTTTTCAACGCTAGATACTTCTCACCACTGCGTGAATGGACATTTGAAAGTGCAGTAATCAAATGCTTGTAACCATGGAGACCTCATCCATGCTTTCCTCATTGAACGATGAGTGCAAATCTGACAACTACATCGAGCCGCACTATAAGGAATGGTATCGTATAGCCATTGATACTCTGATTGAACACGGCTTGGAAGCATACCAAGAGTTTCTTGTCAAGGAGAGAGTTTCAGATTTTCTGGCTGAGGAAGAAATTAATCATATTTTGAAAAATGTCCAGAAAGTTGCTCAAAGTACCGCTCATGGCCCTGATGATTGCTGTGATGATACCTCATCTTCAGGGACGTACTGGCCCATGGACTCTGATGTAGAAGCTCCCAATCTTGACTTAGGCTGGCCGTACGTGATGCCTGGACTCTTAGGGGGAACCCACATTGAACTCCTCTTTCATCCACCAAGGGCACAGCTCCTTACAATCAAGGAAACGATACGGAAGATGATAAAAGAAGCCAGAAAGGTAATAGATAATATTTCTATTTTGATATGAAAAATTTGAAACATGTACAAAAGCACAGAGTAGTATATAGCACAGATGTATGTGTTAGTAAAATAATCTCCATGTGTATAGACTGTACCTGTTATTTTCAAGGAAATATTCCTACAGGTGCGTAGGAAAGCTGTACTTATCTTATCTTGCATGTATCAGAGAGCATGGTGTTAGGTGCCTGCTAAAAGTAGAGATTTCCTTCTCTTTTTAAGGAGCCCAAGAGATTTTCCTCCCCAAAAGGTCAGGTATATGGGTTGGGAATAAAATTCTTTGACACTTTCCTAAATTTAAAACACCTACATTTTTCTTACTCCTTCAAAGGAAATGTGTTGGTAGGTCCAGTGAAGGTTACCTTGTTCATATCAAAACTGAGTACTAATTCTCATTCTGCATATGTTTATGCTGTTACAGAAAGCATCAGTTTACCAGAGCACAGATATTTTCTGAGTTGTGTGGAAACAGTATAAAATCAATCAATGATAATGTAGGATTCTAAAGAAAGTTCCTGATGTATTTAGCATTTTGAGGTCTTAGAGCTTTTTATCAAATATTTGTATTGTCTTATCCATCTCCTGAATCCTGTTTTTGAACTCAAAGTGTAGAAATTTTAATCACTCAATAAAAGTTATTGAAAATTTTCTGTGTCCCCAGCACTGTGATAGCCATTGGAAGATGACACCAAATTCCCCAAGCTCAACCGAGTGTTTTAAAATGTATAAAGAGTTTTGATTTTTAAATATGAAGTGTCTAATTTTATGTTTTTTAATTACAAAGACTAGATGATATAGAAATTTAGCTCTAAAAGGGACTTTAGGATGCATATCCATATGGTGTTGCTTTCTTCAGTTGTCAACAGGACACAGAAATGCTTGATCAAATGTGCTTTTATGAAGTACAGAAATGTCAGACCCTGGAAATCTACAGTCACATGGTGGTAGTTTCCACGACAGGCAACTAAAAACCTACCAATCATGTTAGGGAGAAAAAATGTTCTGAGGCTAATATCGCATGTAGGCTTTGCAAAATAAGGTGATTTTTTTTCCCCCCTGAAACCTTTTGAGCTGAAATAGCCTGACTTTGTGCTATAACTCATCTAGCAGTACTATGTTAATACATTATTAATCTAATCCAATAGTTAGAAAATTAGCTATAGAATCTTGCATGCAGTTAGTGCCCCAACTTTTATATGAATACATGGAAGTGTTGATTCAAATTTCTGAATTGAACCATAAGTATTTTTTAAAGTATACTGTCCTATGTGTTGTGAACAAATGATACGATACAATTGTATTTTGTAAAACAACAGAAAAAAAAATCAAGAATATATAGAAGTCCATATAATGGCAGAATAATAAATATCAAGTGCTAACATTTGCTAGTTTCTGTTTGGGGACACAAGGTGCTTTTGAACAAAAAGGTTAACGGAAAATTGAAAAAAAAATCAGTGAAGGTTAAGATTATTATTGTGGTAACTAAGTAGTTCTGCATACATTAGTCGACACTGTGGCTAGTGTCCTTTTGGGCGATGCATTTCTGTCACATTAAATATTTGGAGCTGTCATAAGTTTCGGGGGTAGCACTCGCTGGAAACTGATCATTAGTCATGACTTCTTGTTATATTTTTCTTACTAATGTAGCAGTTATGTGTTTAGTAAGAGTCCATGGTAATATACTCGACCTGGTCACTGTCTGCTGAGAATTCCCACTGGAATTAGCAAGCCAAGGAAATTAAGGCCTATGCTGTAAAACAGTCTTCTGATGTTCTGCTTCTTTTCCATAAAATCAAGGTGGCGTGAAATAGGAAAGAGAATTTTACCTTCATTGTATTTGTATACATGTGTCTAAGCTGAAATCAAAGGAAGGATTTTTGATCTTATATACTGAGTATGTTGCAATTGAATATAAATCATGACAGATGATGTAGTGTTGGTTTTTAAGGCATTTGAGAATATGCTGGTTGCTCCCAGATGCAATGAATATTGAGTTCAATTTGGTTAAATATGCATGGAATATGTATTTCTCGAGTATTTTGAAAATTTCTTAATGTCACCATGATTATTGAAAGGTTTCTGAAGGATCAAATACTCTGGAGAAAAAAGTTATTAACCCTATTTAAAAAAATTCAGAGTAGTTTTCTCCTAGCTGGAGAAGGTTCCATGGAAAGTTTTAAAATGAGAAGAACAAATATTATGAAATAAAGGCTTGTCAGAACACATTGTTTTTAAAGATTAAATGTGTTTTTTATGACTATCATTTACTCAACAGATAAGCCTCATTCTTATTCTTTGAAATAATGGTAGCCTAGGATAAACTTTGTTTTTGAATCTTTTTCAAAGGATAGATTGCCTTTATGGGTAGCTCAATGTATTGTCATGGCATTAAAAGGGATGATATTTTTTTAATATGTATTTGAATAATATATTATTCTAGTGGCTAGAACAATGTTTCTTGACTCCATGTTTACCAGGGAGATTTTTTTTGTGATCAACATCATAAAATTCTGCAGATATGAGGCCAAACAAGTAGGGCTAGGAACCAGCAAAGCAGAACCCAGGAATTGATCTTGGATAAGAATTTAAGTCCATTTTCACAGTTTTGTTTGCGGCCGAGATAAGGTACTTATGAAAATAAATGCCATTTTGTAGAAAAATCTTAAATTAAAGAGAAGAATCCAAAAGCGGTCTGCTTAGAAGCCCAGACATTTGAAGTGTGATTATAAGCACCAAGGTAACTTTCTAGTCCCTTGTGAAAGGAATTAAAAATGATGCTATAATCCATCCATCTTTACTGGAAATATTTGAAATATTTTATACTTATACTTCACAAATTTATATGCTTTTATTTCTAGCTTAAGTTATATATAATCTGAATCATTTTATACCTTTATAGTATTTCAAAAATCTATTGATTTTTCATTAATTTTATTGCAAATTGTTTCTTAGAAGTTGTTTACAGGATTTTTTTCTTTCTTTTACTTTTTTTGCTTATATTTGCTTGTTTTGTTTAAGAATTTTCCTTTGCTAAAATCTAATTATAGATAATACCGTACTTGTGCCCTTAAGGAACATCTTTTAATTTACTGGCTTTTTTTTTTTTTTAAACTCCTTTCTATTTTTCAGTATGTGGCTGACCTAATTACATGTGGGTTAACTTTGTAAAGTCTGATGGTGTCTAGCAAGACTTTTTCCCATGTAATTATTTTTCTCCCAAGAAGTGTTCCCAAGATGATATATGCACATATTCCTAATTACTGTGAACTCCTCTTATGAAAACCTCCCCTCTCATTACTTAAAAAACTCATCTTTCATTAAAGTAATTTATTTCCCAGCCACTCAGTGGTACATATTTATAAAGTTATAACTTCAGATCTAAATGTTTCACCAGAATGTTATTTGCATCTCTGTTTCCTAATTCTAGGGTAGTGTCTTTTGTGAGAAGTGAATCTTACTCTTGCAAAATATGGAATCAAGACGACACATAAGCAGAAGTCCTGGTGAGAATTAGGGCAGAGTAATTCCTGAGGTGCTCTGTAGGACATCGCCTGAGTTCTGGGCTTGGTTCCTCCCTGAATCACTATTCCTGGGTGTGTCTGTTATGGCCTTGGGAGTTATTAGTAATGTAGAGAAAGATTAACTATCACTTGGCCCCACCGATGCAAAGGGGAAGATGAAAAGATGATGGGAACTCTTTCTGGGAGTCAGCTGATATTATGTAAGTAGTCACACTGGGTTAGAGGCTTGGTCACCAGGACTCGACATTAACTGTGGCATTAAACAGGTTATTGCACCTCCCTGGGTATTTTAATTTATTTAGGGAAAGAAATAAAGCAAAAGACTTCATAGTTTGTAAATCTAGTGCCACTATCTAAGTCTGTAATGTTGCTTACCGATTTAGACTATTTTAACGTGTTAATATACCTTGCTAATTTAGTTCTTTACAGTATTTTTATGGTGACGTGGCATGCTCACCGCGGTCTACATCACTTTTACTTTGCAACATGTCCTGCCCAGCTAAGTGACATTTATATATTTGTCAGTGCTTTCATCGGACTAGAATTATCTCTGTCCTAATGTTCCCAATTTTTATTAAGAATTTTCTTTCTAACCTATCTCTGTTTCAGCTCTTACTGTGAATCCTTTCATTCTTTGAATTGGAGTCAAAATTAATATTTTCCCGGAAATACATTTTGCTTAGTCAGATTTAATGGCATTACCGTCCTGTGACATTAAGTTGAACATGTCTGAATAAAATGTATCACATGTTAATATCTGTTTAAGTGTATATTTGTGAGAGAGAGTGAATGAGGAAAAGGAGGAAAGGAGGGAGGGAGGAAAAGGAAGGAAATATGGAAGGGGAGAGGAAGGAAAGAGAGAGGAGGACAGTAGCAGAAAGGAAGAGGAAGGGGCAAACGGGAGGGAGAAAGGAGAGAAGGGAAGGGGGAAGGAGAGAGAGCGAGCTTGTTAAAATTGTCCTGACTTCCCCACGCCCGTTATCACCGTGTGCATGGGAATATTTTGTCTCGTCCAAACTCCCGGTGCTATGCAGAGAGATACGTGTTCTGCGTTTTTTTTTTTTTTTTTTGCTCTGCTTGCTTCCTCCACTATTTATCAATAACCTTGATGAAATTAAGTATGTTATTTTTAATGTAGTTACTTAAAAGAGTGGAGAAAAGAAAGAGGGGCAATGGAGGGACATTTTAAACTTACCACAAGACAGTTTTATGCTTCTTTGGTTGACTTGATAACTGGCCATAAATGGACCAAAAGCTGTAGACATTTTTTCTGTTTTTTGTTATTTATTTATTTATTTATTTATTTTTTAAGAGGCATCAGGAAATGGGATGAAGACTCTGAATCTTGGAGTCCCTCAGGGCTGGGTTGAATTCCAGCTCAAACTGTTCTTTGTTATTAGACATGACAAATGCAACCTTTCTCCTGTCTGTGAAATGGAGATGGTAATATTTCATAGAA